GGGGGGGGGGGGGGGGGGGGGCAGGGCTCTGGGGCCAGGTTGCCCGGACCCCCTGGGGTGACACCCAGGAGCTGCTGCTGTCAGCACAGGAGCCACTCGGCCCAGACCTGCCTGGGTGCCCACTGGCTGTGGCGGCCTGGCCTGGGGCTGAGGGAGGCTGGCCCAGCTCCAGCTGCTGTCCGTCTCCCCTCGTCTCTCTGTCTGTCTCTCATCTCTATCTCTCTCCCCATGAGACCTCTGCCCTTGGCTGAGTGGTCCCCCTGCCCGTGCCCCCATCAGTACAAGGGCCTGCCCAGGCCGAGTGCACAGTAGGACTCGGGGTGGAGTTTCGGGGGGCCCGCTGTCCTGGTTGGAGGGGTGGCTACGGGAGGGCCACAAGGAGACCTGGGTGTGCTCCTTCCACAGCTGGACCCCTCACATCTGCCTTCTTCAACCCCGCCCTGGCCGCCTCGGTCACCTTCCACTGCTCAGGACACACCTTGCTGGAGTACGCCCAGGTGTACTGGCTGGGCCCTGTGACAGGTAAGGGCTGGCAGGGGTCCGTGGGACAGGGGCAAGGAGATCACAGTTGGGGGTAGGGACACACAAAGCATCCTGGTGGACAGGATTTCAGGGTCCAGCTCCCTGGCGGGAGTCCACCCAGGGGCTGTTTCCTGGCTGTGGGGTCCTGTGGGGAGAGGAGGGTGCTGGGTCAGTGCTCCTGGGCTGCTGTTGTGGGGCCTGGGCTCCCCTCACTGGTCTAGACCTGGGGACACCGCCTCAGATCCAGTCAGGGGTCCTTCCCTGACCATCCTGGGGGAGAGGCTCTGAGTGGCCTATCTTGGTTTAGACATTTTCACGGAGGGGACTAGAGACAGGGGCTAAGGTGGCAGGGAAGAGGCAGACCCTCCAAGGGTGCTGGGAAGACAGGAGGGGACAGTGCCCGCCATGGGGCCCCCTGTGTCCCCTGCAGGGATCCTCACAGACCCAGAGCCGGGTCCCTTGACCAAGAGCTGGGCCTCGTGATGTGGAGCCCAAGGGGACAGAGGACCGAGTTAGACATCTAGCGGAACCGTGCCCCTGGCTGGGCCGTGGACGTGGGGCTGGCTGTCCCCTGTGGTTCCTGGGCGAGGCCCCCCTCTGACTCCCTGAGGCTGGGAGACACCCCAGCTCACCCTACTGTTTTCCTTGCACCTGTGGCCGGGAGGAGGAGTGGTAGGGAGGCCCCGTGGCCAGAGACTGGTGACTTCAAAGGGAGGGACTGAGCCATCCTCAGTCACCAGATCTGATTGCAAACCCCAGGGTCTGAGGCCCAGGTGGAGGTCACAACCTCTCCTGCACCTGGTTTGGCCCCTTGGCCCCACTGCCCTCTCCACACCTTTATCAGGTGGGTAATTAGGGTCCTAGCAGAACTCTGAAATCTCCTCCCACTTCTCCCCATCTACATTGGGGGAACGCTGCCTCACCCTCCCCTCAGTCACCTGAGGGCCCCCAGGTGACGCTCACCCCTTTCCATCCCGGTGTGGGGTGCACAGAGCCCTGGAGATGAGCTCAGAGCAGCCGCAGCGCTCCCTCGGCCCCACGGCCCCTCCCGAGGCAGCACCCCCTCTTTTCAGAGTGTTTCGGTGTCCGCGCCCTCCTCTCCACATGACAGGCTCCAGGACCCCTGCGTGACTTTCAGTTCTAGGCAGCAGCCTTGACTGCATATGGGCAGGAGCGTGGGACCGCTTCCTCCCTCCGTCTCCACCCTGCCATCCTCACCCTCAGGAAGGGTCTAAGTGGACGCGGACCGCGTGGATGCTGGGCATGTCGGAGATTTGCAGGACGCAGAGGTCTCCTCCTCACAGCTGCTCGCCCACAGGCAGGGGCGGCCCAGCTGCTCTTCTGCTCAGTGTTCTGTGTACGTTTCGTGAATTCAGCCTCGGTGGCACCCAGGACGCACAGACTGCTGGAGTCCCCCCGACGGCTCCACCTTCCGTCAGGGATGGCCCTGAGTCGCATTTCCGTTTCCTGTTTTGGAGCACCCCTTCTCTGTGGTGGGGCGCATCCCCCAGTAGTGTCCTGACACAGGGTCCTGCAGTGTCTGAAATCTCACGTCTGGGCCCTGAGCCCAGTTGGTGGTCGGTTGGGCCGGGCACTGACCCCCAGCCAGAGACACGAGCCTCCTGAGTGTGGAAGGAGCTCTCGTGGACAGCAGGCTGTGCTCTCCCTGAAGGCGGACGGGGTCCTCAGAGGCACCCTGGCTTCAGTGGTGGCTGTCACTCCTGGTGTCCCTTGGCTTGTGGCCACATCACCCAATCTCTGCGCGTCTTCACATGGCCTCTCCCCATGTCTCTGCTGCCCCTACTCTCCCTCGTAGGACACCAGTCGTAACGGATTTAGGATCCACCCTACTCCCGTGTAAGCCTCATTTAATGTAACTACTTACAGCTGCCAAGATCCTATGAGGTTCTGGGAATGATTTGAAATTGACACCATTCAACCCAGTACAGCCTCCGACTCCAGAACCGCCATGGTGACATCCAAAGCTGTTAGGACTCCTGGGGAAGCCTTTGGGCCGAGCGGGGACAACTGTGTTCCTGGTTGGCAGGGGGCTCCGTCCTCAGGTGCTCCTGCTGCCTGGGTCTACACGCCCTCCTAGAGAATGGCCGTCCCCTGCCAGGGTCAGGGCGGTGACCCCGGCTTTTTCCATAGGAAAGGGCATCTGGGACTCAGCACTTCTTTTTTTTTNGTCCTCGGTGAGCAGACTGCTCCTCCTCCGTCACGTCCCGGGGTCACTGTGGTGCACCGATGACCTCGAGCCCCTGACACCTCAGGGCGTTGTGTTCCTGTGTCTTGGCCAGTGTCAAGCACAGGGACACCAGCAGTGTCCCCGACCCCCCGGTCCTTCTGAACTCGATAGCTAAGGCCAGTGACATGTCCTCAGGAATGGGGTCCACTCCGTGAGGGGGCAGGGTGTGCGGAGGCGTTCACAGGGAACCCCACTTGCCAAGGGCCTCCCGTTCTGCACCTGTGTGAAGCACCTGCGTCCTCAGCCAGCCACCCTGCTCTCTTAGAAAAGCATGTCTGTCTCTGCGCCATGCGGAGCCACCGCCGTCCGTGAGAGGTGGCCTTTCCGCAGCTTCCTGTGCGTCCAGAGCAGCCTTGGTGAGGCCCTCATGGCTTCCCTGTGTGGGGACACCTGGCCTCATAGATGGCTGCCTCCATGGAGGGAACTGGTGGCATGTGACTCAGAGCACAGGCGGAGCCAGGGCCCCTCACCCAGGTGGGGACACAGCCCAGGTACAGGGAGTTGCCAGGCGGTGCTCGTGGAGCCAGGAGCCTGGGGGGTGAGTCATGGAGTTCGACGGAGGCTTTGAAGAGCTGCGGCCCGAGACGTCTCGTCTCCAGCACCAGGATGGGCCGAGTGGGGTGAGGGGCCCGGCGTGTCTCGCGTCCCCAGGAAGACGCTTGGCGGAGGGGCGGTCCGCTGTGGGCGTTCCTGGCTCTGCCCCTGGGCCAGCGGCGGCAGGATGGGCCGAGGGTGCAGGTGTGGCATTCCCAGGGACGCCGGTCCAGGTGGACTGTTCCACGGCTCCCCTGCCCTTGGGGCTGGGGTGGGTCAGCCCCTGACACGTCAGCTCAGGTCCCCTGCTCAGCCTGGCTCCTCGCGGAGCCCCCGGGCCGATGGCTGGTCTAAACGTGTCCCTCTCCTTCTTCTTGGCCGTCATCGCTCTCTGCCAGGCGGCCAGGAGGGCGTCTAAGTCCCTGCTCCCGGCGGGCGCCTACGACAACTTCGCCCGAGAGGCAGCGGGCGCGGCCCAGCTGGGGGCCTGCTGCCTGGAGCTGAGGATGCTGGTGGAGCTGGGCCCCTGGGCCGGGGGCTTCGGCCCCGACCTGCTGCTGACACTGCTGTTCCTGCTGTTCCTGGCGCACGGGGCCACCTTCGACGGTGCCTCTGCCAACCCCGCCGTGTCGCTGCAGGAGCTCCTGCTGGCCGAGGCCTCTGTGCCCAGCACGCTGCTGAAGCTGGCGGCCCAGGGGCTGGGCGTGCAGGCGGCCTGCACCCTGACGCGGCTCTACTGGGCCTGGGAGCTCAGCGACCTGCACGTCCTACAGAACCTCATGGCCGCGCACTGCAGCTCGGCCCTGCGCACCAGCGTCCCCCACGGCGCCCTGGTGGAAGGCGCCTGCGCTTTCTTCTTCCATCTGACGCTCCTCCGTCTCCACAACAGTCTTCCCGTCTACAGGGTGCCGGCCGTGGCCCTGCTGGTCACCGTCACGGCCTACACAGGTGAGACCTGGGTGCCTCTCCTTTGCGCCACATCCCAGCCTCTGCCCCAGTGGCTGTCATGCCTCTCACACCTGCAGACGCCCAGGAGGGGGGCTGCCTGCCCGCCAGCTGGGACGGTCATGGGGGTGGCCATTTCCTGGGAGCCTGCTGGTGGCATGACAGCCAGCTGGGCAGCACACAGTGCGATGGGGTGGCCCCAGGCCCCTGTCCTTCCTCACTGGGCCTCCCCGCACTCCCAGTGCTTCTGTTCACCCCAGAAGGTCTATGCCCGGGGGAGGTGGGGCGGCCAGCGCAGTTTCTCCAGAACGCGACCCAGGCTCTGAGCGGGAAGCCCCTGTGTCCTCCATCACCCCTTCCCATGGTGCCAAGCCCTGTCACTTCTCTCTCCCTTGTTGGTGCCAGGAGCCTCCCAAGAGGGCCCCTGACCAGAGTCACTGCCCCCACCTAAGCAAGACTTTCGACCCAGTTCTCATGGGGTCCCTCAGCCCCTAGCCTCACCCTAATCCACTGCCACCCTCAGACCGAGCTCACCTGTTTTGGGGTCCTATGAGGGTGTGTCCCCAATGTGATGGGGGCACCTTTCCCACCTACATGGAGAAACAGTCAAGGACAACTGTGGGTCACACCGACCAGTAACCTCACATTCCAGCTGTCCCTGGATTGGGGGCAGAGCAGGGCCAGCACTGGGAGCCGGGAGGAACCCACCCTTGTTCTGTCTGTGGAATTGGCTCCCCTGGGAGGGGTCCTTCCGGCTTGCGTGCTCCCTCTGCCCCGGGCACTGGGACAGGGTCTGAGCAAGATGGCAGGGCCCTCCAGGAAGGTGGCCGGGAGGGGACGTGAGCCTTGTCTCCTCGGGTCCCAGCGCTGGGGGTGCGGCAGGAAGGGGCTGAGGCCAAGCTCCTGAGTGTCCATTCGGGGAGACTCCATGGGGACAGAACCACCACTGAGGGCTCACTGTCCGTGTTGCTGACCTCACCCAGCCAAGGAGGACACTGTGGGACCTGGGCCACCAAGGGCCAGAAAGGTGCCACGAGCGCCATGTACAGGGAGGGAAGTCAGGGCCCTGGTGCGCAGANTAAAGGGAACTAAACACCAGGCAGAATAGAAACTGTGTGTAAATCTTCATTTACTTCTTCACCAACTTTCTTACCAGACACCGCACGCCTCACACGTCGCTCTGGGCGGAGTAAACTACTCCAGCTGCCTGGGGGACGTGGGGGCAGAGCCTTACGAAGTTATGCATTCACCTGCCATGACCCAGGCGTGTTTCGTATTTGCCCCGAAGAAAGAAAACATCGACCTGAGAAGACTCACACAGGAGTGCTTACAGCAGCTTTATTCACATTAGTCAAAAACCGAAAACCTCAAAGGTTCATCATCAGAACAATGGATAAACAAGCCACCGTTCATCCATAAAATGGAATTCCATTCAGCAATAAAAGGGAACGCAACCCGGCCCTCCAGCAGCCCGCTCCGGGCCCTCGTCCAGAAGAAAGCCTAAACCTGTGCTAACATGAGTCAGCAACGTGGACGCGTGTCACCGGGATGAAGAAAACGTTCCCTTTCTCGGTAATGGCGTGGGTTACTTGGGTTTATGCACTTGTCACGAAGTGTGGAAGTTTACTTTTAAGAGTGATGCGCTTTGTTTTAAGTTTTATCTAAAAATGAAAAAGTACCTAAAAATAAACCAGGACTTCACATTGATTTTTCAGTGTGGATCATCCCTGGGCTCTACTCCGGGGGTCCATGAGCTCACAGCGGCACAGCTGTGGTGGCTGAAAACCCTTTCCATGCTGACGAGAGCAACGTGTGGACCGTGGAGACCTCCACCTGGTGGGAGCAGGAAGAAGGTGAGGGTGGAATGGGAGGTCCCAGCACGAACTCACACTCCACACGACCCTTGAGGAAACCCTGGCTGACCCAGGCCCAGTCTCCAGGTCTGTGTGGCTTCCAGAACGTTCCCCCACTCCTCTGAGAGGACAGGGGCCTCGCACAAGAAGAGGACAGACGCAGGCCCCCATCCCCCGGGCTGGAGACTGGGCTGTTTTGTCCACCCTCCAGGGTGAGGTCTGGTGGGCAGGGGAACGGTGTCTGGGTTCCTGCGAGGCTGCCCAGGTGGAATTCCTGGCGAGGTTAACCTCACCTGCTCTGGGAAAGTCCTGGGCCTCAAAATTGTCTGCTGGGACAACCAGAAGAAAAAAAGGTCAGCTCCTTATGGTCTGGGCTGCGTGTCCCTCCCCGCCCGGGGTCTGTCTCCCTTCTGTACTCGGAGGTCTGGGAGGCACAGGCGTTGGATTAGAAAAAGAAAAACAAAAGGAGCGTCAGGGAGGGCGGAGTTGTGGGCAGCGCATGAAAGGGCCCCTCCATGCTGTGCCGGAGAAACGGGTTCTGGCGGGAAGGATGGAAAGTCCTAGACTCTGCACGTTCACTGT